CAAACTTTTTTGTCGTGCGTTCCACATCATCCTGATGATTCTGAAGACGCTGGTAAACTTTCTGGAGTTCCTCTTGCTTCTCTTTAAGCTGTTGCTCTCTTTCACGATTGCCCCATAGTGGCCATAGTGCGCTTGCTGCGGCTGCACCAGGAATTCCACCAAAGGCTGCAGCACCATAAGCAATCGCGGCGGAAAGGACCTCGAGTGATATGATGTCATCTGAGATTTTCTTCTTGGCCTTCAACAGTTTCTGAATGTCCTCCTGCAACGTCTTCACGTCTCCTGTGTACACCTCTTCAAGCATTTTTTGGATCTCTTGCAGGAGTGCAATCATCTTATTCACAGCATCCTTGATGGCCGAGTCGGTCTTCATCTTCACAAGATCTTTCAATTTAGACCTGAGCTTCTCTACAACTTCATCCTCTGACTTCTCTGCATCGATGCAGATGATGTCCGGCAAGGCGGCAGCATTGGGAAGCAATTCTTTGAGTGTGCTTTCCACATATTCGATGCACTCCTGTCGCTTCTCTTCACCCACTAGAAAGTTCCAATAGTTCACCACAACCAAGACGCGTGTGTTCTTGGAAGACAGCTCCTGGATAACATCCTTTTCACTGTCTCTCAAAGGCTGATTAGCACTGGTCATCACCACTGCAAGATCTGCACGGTGTGCTGCATCCATGGCTTTCTTTTGCTCGTCTTGCTTCATAGCATCAAGACCCGGAGAGTCAACGAGCAAAATGCTGCCCCATAGAATCTCCTGAAGCTTTTGGGTTGTGGGCTTGATACCTACAGGGCAACGAGTCTCACCAATGAGAGTGTTGATGAGAGTCGACTTGCCCGCACTGGTTGCTCCCAAAAAAAATGACCATCACTGGCTTCTTATAGTCGGTCTCGGCTTGGAGGCCCTCACTGATGTCATCAAAGCGCTGGCCTTCTTGGTACTTGTTCTTGTACTCGCGACAGTATTTCAAGACTTCAGCGAAAGGCGGCGACGGCGATTGGCCAAAGCTTCTGTTGACACAGCGAGTCCCAAAACTCTGCCCAACATGTGCCTTGGCCAGAGTTGCCATCCACTTGCGACCTGGCAAGATATGATTTGCCCAGGGCTGGGTGGAAAGGGAAGGGCATTGGCATAGTGCTTTCGGCTGGAGAAGTGACTGCGGTAACTTGCCAAACATGACATCTGCCATCTGCTTCTTCGTATGATGCAAAGCCATGGCAGAGTGGGAAGGATTCGCAGATGCGAGAGGCCGGTGTGATCCCAAAGTTCTGCGGCGCAACCCAGTGCAAACGAGCAGCCAAACTATGTCTCGCACAGCGGACCCGCAAGGAAAGCTAGCAAGGAGGCTTGCGCTTTCCTATGAGGGTTTGGTCTTAGCTCATTGAACGCCTGAAAGGAAACTCGAATCCAATATAGACTGCCATCAAAACACACCGTAACGGTTCCATGCTTCAGCTGGCCTGGCTTGAAATCGAATCCAACCACGAAGTCCGTGTGCTCGCCTGTAGGGAACGGGCTGGGCTTGAGTCTTCCAAGTGGGCTCCTCTGCCCCTCAAATATGCTTCCAGCCTTTGGTAGAGCCTCTAAAGTACCGAGGTCTTTCCAAATGGTGGAGCTTCAGATGCAAAGACTTGACCCTTCTCTGGAGGAAAACTTCAAGGAAGCTGACCGCCCAACCCTCCGGCCCATTTGATTCGGCTCATCCACCCAAGTCCCGGCTCATGCGTCAATTAGTGCCCTTGACATCCAAAAGCACTAGCACCATTCTGCACCATTCCTTTAAGTTGTTTCTAGGCCGTGGTAGGGACGCTGGAAAAAACAATCACACATTCAGAAAAACAATCACACAACTTGTTTCCTGACCCCTTTTGTGAAGTGGCGAAGCTGTGATTTGTGAGTCTGCTTCACTACTCTTGCTGGTCATACATGTGATCTCTATGGATATGTGACATGTGGAAACATCACTGACCCTGTAAAATCCTTCGGTTGGTCGTCTTGCCAGGTGACCTTGGTGTCATTGGAGGTCTTGGAAAGAATCTCAAAACCACGCTCCAAACCATGCCCAACCAAACATAATTCCAAACATGCCCCAAAAAGAGGAACGCTCCAAACATCCCAGAAACAACACTCAAAATGCTTCCAACCTCCGACTTCCCCCTGAACGCCCACGCCCACGAACTCATGCCCACGCACACCCGGCCACGCCCACGTGCGCGGATGAAGTCGGCCAAGGGTTCCTTGCGGCGTCAAGTCATACAAAGGAGCGAACGGGACGAAATCATCCGTTCGTTGCGGCAGCCTTTTCCGAGTCATGTGTTCCTCCAATCTTTCTCGAGGGACAAAAAGGATCAAAAAGGGACCACCCCCTTTTGGTATATGCAAAGGGCGGATGAAAAGCAAGCAAGAAACATGTTTTGCCATGTTTGCTCCACGAAGATTCTTCAGAGTCGGTAGTTGGGGCCCAGTACTATGGCCCAGCAAGCAGGAAAGGGTCTCAAACGATGCAGAGTCACGAGAGTCATGCAACGGTGCAATTCCCAGAACAGAGCTTGCTGTGGAAATTGATCTTTCAAGCCTTATGCACAGTGGGAGTCCACTACGAAACTGATCCCCCTTGCTACCGACAGCTAAGGTTGATGCCCAGGGTTTTACGTATTTGAATCCTACAGACTTAAAAATGGCGCAAGCAAGGGGGATAAAACCGGTTTCTCCGCTTGGTCAACACGTGGTTCCTTGGCCCCCCGACGTTTCCCAGTTCGGCACTGGAAAGAGGTCGCACGACCGCGGTGTTCTTGGCTACACTCCATGGGTTTGAAGGCTCGCCTGTATCTCTTTGAAGACTCTAGGAGGTCTAGAAACACGACAAGGATCTTGATCACCATATCTGGCTGTCTTGTCTAAGTAGACTCACAGGGGAAGTCCTCAAGGATCAGATCGTCCGTGAGATGGATACAACATGATAACAAACACGATGGAGAACTGACATGATCTTGTAGATCTCAAGTTTGATCTTCGAAGGTGTTCGGATACCTCAGAACTCGTTCTCCATCGTGTTTGGCGACCTTGCAGCCGTTTCCAATGTTTTCTGTCGGACACGGGGAGCTTATGGTCCCCATCAAGGACACGGCCGCTCTCCCCTCTCGGTGCGCCCGCCTTCGTGCGGGACGTCTTCCGCGGCCGCCTCCGTCGCATGGACTCCGAGTGTAAGTTGAGTTGCGTGAGTTAGTTGTGTGAGTTGATGGTGTGAGTTAGTTGTGTAAGTTGAGTTCTGTGAGTTGAGTTATGCAAGTTGAGTTGTGAGGCGGTGGGCGGGAGGAGGACAAGGAGCCGGGATGCAGCAGGAAAAACAAGAACCTTGCACAAAGACAAACAAACAACATGTCTTCCTTCCCTTTCTTTGGCCATGCGAGTCGTTGGCACTTGTTGCTTCCCACTGCCTCGAGGCACTCCCCGCCAACACGACCCGTGGACGCGCAAAACCGAACTCCACAGGCTCGCATATGGTATAGGTTGATGACGATGACCGGACCGAACCGTTTCAGAGTTGACCGGACCGGACCGTCTGTCGTGCCCCACAGCCCCAGAAATACATCTGAACTGTACTAAAATGTCTCACACATGCCTTCGCGGGCATTTGGGGGAGTTGCAGTCTTTTCCGGCTTTATTTTGGAAGAGAAAACACACGGAGACCTCACACATTCGGTCTGCGGTCGCCCCGATTCCAGTCGATCTGCGAGGTCTCGTGCACCGCGCACCGCGCCGGCAGCTGCCGCGCGCACCGCACCGCACCAGCCGGGTGAAGTCGCTTTTGGGTTTGGGGTTTGGTGCGTTGTCTTCACGATGATCCTACTTTATTGCAACACGTTGGCTAAACGGAGGGGTGACAGCCCCGACAGCAACATACACAGGGCTAGAAAAGCATGGCGTTTTACAGTTTTTTTGCCTTTCGGGTCACTCAACTGATCATCTTGGAGTTCATGAACCCCAAAACGACGACCTGATTGGGGATTTACAACCCTTCCAGCTGAACCTTGAGGACTCTTCTGCTTCCAAATGGAAAGAGTACTACGTCCGGGCTTTCGTGTCCGGGCTTCAGGTCGAGGGCTTCGTCCGGGCTTCAGCGGTGAAAAGGTAGGCTGCTAGGCTCAAGGATGCAGCTGCACGTTTGAGGCTTCAGGATAAATCAATGGTTTTGGGCCAAGGATATGTTTCCGGTTAGAGTTTAGAGTTAAAACAAACAGCTCAACACCCTGAAACCTGAACGCCCTCAACGCTGAGCTTTCTTCAACAGTCATACACTCCATAAACTCCGCGCCTTCCTTCAGCACCGCTGACTCGGCCGCCGCCGCGGCAGGTGCTGCCTGAGGGTTGCCGTCACAATCGGGTTTTCCAGTTGCGGGTTGGGTCTTTGCAGTAGGCTTTACAATGGAGAGTTTAGGGCTGAGGGTCTGAACTATAGGATTTTGGGTTCAGGGCTTGGGGTTCAATTCTTGCTTTCGGCTTTATTGATCTTTATTAAGGTTTTAAGGCTGTTGGGCTCAGTGTACCAGGTTTGGGATGAAGCTTTGGGAACCCCAGGATTTAATTAGAAACGGGGACATGCCGCGACTACAAAAGCCCAAAGCCCCGCGTCTTAATGGTGAATGCATTGCCTCGTTCACGTGCGCATTCCGTAATGGCTATGGTGGGCAATGTCCAGGCTGAAGGTCCGAACATGCACTCTAGTTGGATTGAACTCCAGTTCGAGTGTCTGCTTGAATCAGGCTTGGGAGGTCTGTCTGCTAAGTTACCCCCAGGACTGGTGAACTTCTCTTCTGAAACTTGCCCTTGCCAAGATCTGACCTGCGGTGTTCACAGAATGCAAGCACCTCCTTTCACGCTTTCAACTCGCGCCAGCACCTCTGCGCCAGTACCGTGCACTGGTGGCAGGGACGAAACCTATGAGGGACAAAACCTGCTCAGTGTTCCACACGTATCTTCGCCGCAGCGGCCGACTCTAGCATGAAGCCATGCATGCAACGAAGGCACTGCCGCACAAAGCCATACAAGGCCCTCTCAATGGTGGCGGTGATCGTGTGCACCCTGCGCAGCAACTGGAAGATGCTGCACCGCACTGAGCCTCACATTGTTGCTTGTCTTTTTCCTTCGCCTTCATGACAATGTGTGAGTTCAAGGACAAGCCACGGCTGCCAGCAAAGTTTGCCATGTGCGGCACCACGAAGCTCGTATCGATCTGGCCACCATCGAGGCCATCGTCAGAACTGTCGACGAACGGATGTCGATGTGTGATGCCACCAAGGCCGATGAGAAGGAATGCCAACAACACCATGGCGCGGGCAGTCTGAGCCATTCTGTTGAGGGCTTGATCCGCCAGATTTGTCTTACTAAGACTTTGATGCTTCGTGGCTTGCAAACGGCATTTTTGGCAGCGCACGTCAACGTTCCAGGAACACCAGGCAAGTGAAAAACCACACATGCGGTTGGTAACGTGTTACACTTGCAGTGCCAACGCTGTGATGGCATGGTCTGACCCATTCCTGTAAAGCCTGCAAGGAACACCCTCTACAGAAGATTCTTGTCAACGAGGCCTATGACTGTCCATCTTGGAAGATAAGCCAACATCATAGGAGTGTTTCGGGCAAAACTGAACTTTCGGCCATGGAGCAGACCAACGTAGTGGGCATCATTCTACCCTCTGTCGAGAGACTGTGAATAAAGCATGCACCGACCGGCAGCGCGCAATCACACAAAAGGCAGTTGAAAGTGTTTAAGGCACCTAAATATGTTAAAGCCGTCAATCGACACAGCGCTGCCTTAAACCTTGTTAAGGCTAAATATGGTTTAAAGCAGCCGTCTGAACAAGCTGCTCACGCATGAAAGTTGAACACGGCGACTTCAAGATGCCACCACTTCTACACGACAGTCACGACAGTACGTACAACCACAAATTTGCCGGCACAGTAGCTGCGATGTAATTACATGTTCGACAAGCAACCCCTCAAACACGACCCTCACTAAGAAAACATGGCTTGGAAGCCGAAAACACATCCTCTTCGTGCAAGAAACCGCTTGTCGTGAGAGCAAAAATCACCAACAACCCGCTGGCCCTGACCTGACCCCTCCTCTTCGAACATCGAGGCTTGTACTGTAGATGAGTGCCTCGAAGATCTCGCTCCGCTGGATCTGGTCCTGATCCACTCGGTGAGACGCAGAGGGATCCCCGGAGGATGGCACAAGTTCCCAGTAAAGCTCCTAACATGGTGGCTGGACCATCTGCTACTGTAAGATTTTACGGACACATGTCCCACAGAGTCCGTAGACCTGCATTATTCCTACAGTATTATATGTATAACTCACCCCTCAAAAGGACTATAATTCTATGCCATTCGACGCACGTTTAAAGGTCAACTTATTGGTCATCGTCCCTCTCTTTAGCCATCTTTCTTCTGGAAAAAGAATCCTAGGGTCCTGTGCCTCGACTTCGGAACTCGCTAATCTATTCAGGATGACCTGATCATACCTCATCTGTTCTTGGACGCCGGGTGGAACCATGAACCATCTTATGTTCTTCTACGATAACGATGAAACCTGCATAGGTGGCTGGGCTGACCCTCGCAAATGCATTCCTACACAGAGTGTGACACTCACAGGATGGATGTGCTTGGAATGCCAACAGTGGTACATGTCTGACAGAAGTAGCAGGTGTATGTCCAAAGGTGAAGCGCTTCTGGATTGAACATCATGCATTCACGAAGGCCCCTTAAAGACACACTATTTGATGCTCCACCCACCCACTATACAGAAAGTGATCACACGCCTGGTGTCGGGCAGCATAGACCTTGAGCAAAGATGGCAAGCGAAATTGAATGGTCGAGACGCGATCCTTGATCCATGATTTCATGTTTATGAAAAACCTCACTGACCAAGGTCACGCAACGCGATCGCAAAATCAGCAGGAGTCACTTTTTGAAGGAATGAAGCCATGGACCTTTTTCGTTGAAAAAATACCCTGCCTTTTTTCATTCAAAAAAAGCAACGCCCGTTCCAATCAACTTGGATCTGCCCACGTCTGTGCTTGGGACCCCGACATTTTGGTGCTGCTGAGACGGCAAAGGATCACAGCTGATAGTCCGCGATCCGGGCACCGAGTCAGCAGCAGGCACCTGCCGTGTTTCTCTCAAACTTCTTTTCCTGAACTGAAAGGCAATGGGAGAGAGGATCAAACAACCTGGCTCAAAGATTCTAAGGCAGCTTCCGAAACTGAGATCTCCTCACTGGGAGGATGAGAACCACACACAATCAGAAACAATCTTGTGATGTCTTCTTCATGCGAACTTTTTGGAACAACAATCTAAACAATCATCTCTTTCTCCATCCAAAAGGGGCCCTTCGGGTGGCCTTCGGCACGTTAGATCCACCGTCTCCGGACGCTTCCGAACCGAACCTCGACCGGTCCCGAACCGAGCGGCGCCGCGCGTAGCGCGGAGCCGGCGTTTGGCCCAAGGGCCGGTGGGTCCGGGTCCAGGTCGGGTCCAGAGAACGGAGCACGACATGGGAAGAAGGAAAGAAGGGCCAGGTGGCGCCCAAATTCACCCGAACTCGGACAGATCAACGAAAGTACCCGGATCTGGTGACGTCCCACGCTGTGTGGTCTGATCAGTCCGAACCTCACAGAACCGTCAGTCTCACAGCCCCAACCTTCACCTTTGACAACATTGGAACCTTCGTTCCTTCTGAACCTTCGGCTTGATTTCCGTGCTATATAGGTAAATGCCATCATAAACTGCATCCGTCACTAAGTGTTTTTTTCATTATTAGTTCTGAGATGTTCCGGGAAGTGAGTAGACTCAACTTCTTAGATCCCAGGAAATGGTCACCGCCGGGTGGTTTGCGACAAGGCCGCAGGCCTCACTACCCACGGCAATGAATCGAGCTGTGCAGAATCCCCTCAAGTCGAGAATGCTACGACGGTGTTCCTTCAACGTGTTTCTCCAAACAGCTCTCAACAGGGTGCACCGGAAATCGCCATCCTCTGGCACCACCTGACTGATTGGAGGCCTGGTTGGAGGTGCTGCGGTTCGGGTTGGAAGCTTTGGATGAAGTCGTTGAAACCTGCCAGGCAGGGATTTGTCGGAAGCAAAGGCATGAAACCGATGGCATTCCCGCCGGTGCAACTAATCCAGTGAGGTGGAGAAAGTTCTTCAAAAAACATCCTCAAAATGAAGACAATCCGACAAAGAGCCGCTGCCGTGTGGTGCATCCTGGTTCTTCCATCCACAGAAAAGGTCCAAAGCAAAAATAACCATGCAAATGAGACGATTTCCTGTGGCACCCATCCTGCAAGAGTCCCCTGAAGTTTTTCTGCAGCCTCATCTTTGTCTCCTCCGCCGACCTCCTGGCCGTTGGACGTAGATCACTCTTCGGCCGACCATTCAGGTGACCATTCAGGTGTCCTCCCAGGGCAGTTTGCTACTTGGGCTTGGCCACTTCAGTGACTACTCCAATTTGGAATCATCGAGCTGCGACCGGGCTCCTGAGCAGTGCAAGTGGGATATGTTGCGTCCCATGCGATTCGAACATTCAAGGTGTTGGCCTGTAGCTGACGTGTTGGGGCCAAAACAAGAAGTTAGATGATGCTTGGGAAGGTGATCCCTAGATTCTCAAAGGAACTAACAAAAAGAAAGAAACAACACCATGAAGAATAACAAAGCACCAAACACCCAAATAAACCACAACCACCACAAAGCACAAAAAAAAAAAATCTTTCGCAACAGCGAAATCTCATGTTCTTTCACATCTAGAGACCCGAACGTTGCTGATTCGTGATTCCCGAACGTTGATCAGTGATGCCAATCGCCGATTGTTTCGCTTATCTAAAATTCCTCTTGGCCGTATCCCAGAACGATATACCAAATTCAGTTGGGCACCCGAACTTGATGTATGAAACCTTGTTTGAGAACCCAAATTGGTCAGGGCGTTGCATCTGCCAAGCCATTCAGTTCACTCTCTCTTCACAGCCGTTCCACTGAGCTCCGGACGTCCACGGCACGCTCGGCAGCACCACATCGAAGCCACCCGGCGCACGATCCGCGCGAAGGCGCCGAGCCGGGGAAACGGCGCTGGAGAGGCTTCACTGGGACGGCTCCTCTGGTGCAGAGCGGTGTGTTGAGCAGGAACATCCCCAAGTTCCGGAGCGAGATCGGGGTTTTGGGGAGGCGTTCTGGGCGAGGCTTCACTTTCATGATCCCTCTCGCGCAGAAGCTTCTCCAAGCTCCGGGCCGACTTTCGTGTGCTTGGATGCTCGGCTCCGAGTGTTCGCTCTTTGGCCTCCAATGATCGCCTGAAGAGTTCTTCCGCCTCTCGGAGTCGACTCATTTCTGCCAAGCAATGGGCTAAGTTCATCATGGAGCGCAGCATGTCGGGATGTTCGCCCCCAAGGGTACGCTCCTGAATTTCCAGAGTCTTGTGATACAAAGGCTCCGCTTCCCTCTGACGGCCCATGCGTTGCAAGCAATTGGCTAAATAAGTTCATCATGGAGCGAAGCGTGCCGGGATGCTCGGCTCCAAGGGTGCGCTCTTGAATCTCCAGAGTCTTGCAATACAAAGCCTCTGCTTCCCTCTGCAGGCCCATCTCATCCAATCAACCGGCTAAGTTGTTCATGGATTTCAGCGTGTTTCGATGTTCGGCACCAAAAATGCGTTGTCTCACCTCCAAGCCTCGCCTGTGCAGCTCCTCGGCCTCTCGCAATCGACCCAGTCGCCTCAGGCAGATGGCCAAGCTGTTGAGACATCTCAGCGTGTTTCGGTGCTCGGCACCAAGTCGCCGCTCCGAATCTTCCAACGCTGCGCGCAGGAGCGGCTCGGCTTCGGCCAACTGTCCCCGGCACTGCAGGGCCTCGCCCAAGCGTTTCTTCGCTTCAGCTTGGATCTCAGGAGTCTGCGCATTAGCCTCGCGCACTCGGAGGACGTCGACCAGTCGGGCTGGGCGTTCGATACGCCGTCCGCACCCAGCACCCGGAGGACAACACAGCAGCGCTTCGGCTGCCCGGGTTCATTTAAGGGCTTGTCGGCCAGGTTGATGCCAGGGAGCTTCCCAGCAGCTTGCATTTCGGGTGTCGCTCGTTCAGAAACGTCGTAGACATTCTCGGGATCGATCAGAAGCGGGATGCAAAATCTCAATGCTGGCTCGAAAATGCCATCAATAAAACTTGTTGATGCAGATCTGTCGCTACTCACCAATTAACATGGGATTAAACAACAAAACAAAAAGTAGATGAAGAATGACGGAACCCAGCGCGTGGTGGATACTCCTCGTCCACGTATGACTCACCATGTTGCTCAAGATCGCGGCGCATCATGCGCCTGAAGTTGTTATCCAAGAGCTGGCGCCTGTTGGTCCATTCATCTGGGGGCTTGGGCACGCTGTAGACCCCAGCGCCCCACCAGGCATTTGCGCGTGGACCCTCTGTAACTAAAGAAGCAAAGACCTCAGCAGCCTCCTTCTCAAGTGCAGTGATGTTGTGGAAGGCTAGCGCACCTGAGATTTGCCCCAACACTCATGATATTGAAAGAATGCTTCTTCAAACACATATCACCTCAAGGCAAACCAGGTTACTAGTGTAATGAAAGAAGACCTTCGCATTTGGCTTCGAGGACAGATCCATGGCATCTTTCCAGACGATGATGCCCGTCTTCTTGTGCCTCCAGGTATGAAGAAAGTCTTCGTCGGAGTGCTCATAGTCCGGTGACTGAAAGTCTCCACCTTCTCGATACCTGGAGGAATTTCGACCAAAACCGACCCAAGCACCAAAGCATCCCCGCCACTGAGCAGCTTCGACAGAGGGGTTCTGCATAATGCAAGAAGGACGTCGGAATCCGTTGTACAAACCATCCTAGATACGTGCATCTCTAAAGCCCCGAAACCGGCGGAGGCCCAAACGTCCCCAAAAGCATAGATGCGACCGAGGCGGCACTTTCTCAAAGTACTCCACCAAGCTATCAGTCTCCATGGCAGCCATGGCTGGGGCCTTTGCCCCGTTCTCGCGGCGTCTCTTATGGTTCTGTCAATGGGGTCAGGTTGAGGAGGGAAACGGGGTAGATGTTATTCCTAGTTTCTAAGATTTGACAGAAAGCCAGCACTTACTCAATAGAGTCTACAATCCTGGCCCAAGATCTTCTTCACGTGTCGAGAGGTTTCCTGAATGGTATATCTGCCTGGAAAGCCAGCAACCTAACAACACCATATTTCTGTGGTGCAGTGAAACTTGAGACTCTTCATAGATGAGCAATTGCACCCCCTAACAGGGACCCCACTAGCCAAATCTCTCCTTGAAACTATGGAGCTGGGGTAGTTTGGTCTGGAGTTGCACGAGTCTTGATTCTTCCACAGATGACAGCAAAACCTGTCGTTGCTGCGAAGCATGCTTGAACATTTTTAGTGATGCTTGGGGCGTCCAATCTGCAATGCGTTGTTGCAGTTCCATGGAGGGTTCTCACGAACTCGGGAAGTTGAACTAGTTGGATCCAGAACGTTCCTGTTTAAACGAATGTGATTTGATACTTAGCTTCCAAAGCTTAAAGTATCAATCAAGACCCTAAACAAACAATTGCAAAACATGATGAATGGATTCAAAGTTGCTTGAACAAGCTGACTGAACTGCTGGACTTCTCAGTCTCATCGACAAATCCCTGACTACATGTTGTCACAAGGTGTGCTTGCAGCTTTCTGTCAAAGGTTCTCACGGGTTCGTTGAGACCAATGGCTGCGACAAAGCAAGAAATGTGTCTGCGAAAGGAGGTGCGTAGGTCATCTTTTGCAGTGGTGGTTTATAACTCACTCTTGTGGCAACCTACACCTGATCAAATTCAACCACCAACCCAGAAGGCGCATGAACCTGAACCACTCAATCGAAAAGCAATACACATACACAGGTCTTCCCATCAGGGAGAATCAGGGTAGTTGGCAATTCTGCAAAAGGCCCTTCCCTGCCTCAGCTTCGTCCCAAGAAGGCTCGGTGCAGCTGCTCAGCGATTGTTGCCGAGACAGTCGACCTCGTCTGGGGTGGGGCGCAACGGTGCAAGCGTTCGACGTGGCAGCAGAAAGCAACGCGACCAAATGGCTGCAGCGACATCTTCGTCAACATAGAAAATCATACAAGTCCAGTCTGATTGATTCTTTGCATCCCTGTAAGTAATGCTATTTTGATCTATATACTTTCATCGACTACATACTTTCGACTTTTTGCATATACCTCAGCTTTCTCAATAGAATTGACCCAACTTTCCGCCACTACTAGCCTGCCTTGGCGTCGCTGGAGGGTCAGCGAACTCCGTGACGTTGCGAAAGCAGCTCCAGCCGATCCTCTCACGTTCTCACGTAGATGGGCCACTGCCGAAGAAGATAAGCCTCGAGAAACGAGCACGGCTAGGCCCCTTTCTGCTAGGGTCAACAGGTGTCAAATGAAGACCCTGATTGAAATTCTCAAGTCCTCTTGAAAAGGGCATGCCGGCCCAAGCAGTACATAAAACTATATTTACTTGGAGCCGCATCGAAGCCAATGGAGGCTATTGACGGCTGTTGATGGGATATAAACATAATTGATGTAGTGAGTCCAGATCGGCATAGAAATGGTTTCAAACATTCAAACTGTCAAACCTTGCTGCTCAGGCACGTTCAGCATTTTCCGAAGGTCTGTGGAGAGTTCATCGTACTTCTCTTGCCGCAAAATGGCCTTGACAACGTGCGGCAACATGCCACCGACTCACTGCAAGAGAACGCCACCAGACTGTCGTGTGCTGCCTTGGCTCGTGTTCAGGTGGATCTTGAAGTAAATCCAGTCCGTTGTTTGGAAGGGCCAACCCTTCCCTTGCCTGTTCGTTCATTTTACCATGTCTTCTCGCTGCACTTAACCGATGGCCGAAGCTAAGCCACAGGCTACTGTGCTGGCATCGGTGGCGATAAGTGTGCCAGGGTGCGCCTGGGTAGGTGACCCTCCACTGGGACTCTCTCTCTCTCTCTCAATAAAAAAAAACTGCAGCCATCGTGGGAAAGTTGGGTTGTTCGTTCCAAAGAAAGATTGCAGTACCACACTTCTTAGATGCAAACTCCAAATCCACGAGCCCTACCACATGCTCCAGATCCAAGAAGCTCCAGACTTGAAGGATTAGTGATCATTAGTTTATCAAAAAAGAAAATATTGAACAGCGTCATCTTGCGTCATCGTGCCGCGATTTTTGAAAAAAAAGAAAAAAACACGAACGCGAGCTGTTCCTCACCAAAAAACAAATAGAAAACAAGAAAAAAACTGCTGCGATTGCTGAAAGCGACCCGCTGCGCTGCAGCGACGGAGCCAAGGCACCGTTTGCGCCAAGAAGGCCCTGCAGACCGAGCGGCGAGCGGCTTGCGGGGCGACGGTCTTGGCCCAGTTTCCGGTGGGGCAACGAGGTGGGTTTTGAGAGGGCCAACCCAGTGAGCCTTGTCTTTTGTATCAAGAATGAAGTTTCGGCCCGACTGTCTTATACTGAGACAGCTGACCGCAACAGTCTGAGTATATCAAGAATGAGCCAAAGGTTTTTTGATGGCTCCTTTTTGCGTCCTCTGCGAATTCGTCATCGACCAACACCGACTTCCCCGACAACCCTGCAATCATCATTCATGTGGATGGCACCGCCTGGTTGGTATTCGGATGCGACAGGGTCATCCTTTGCGGGGCCATGCGTTCTCCAGAAGCTCTACTGAAGCTCACAGAGACGAAGCCGCTCGGGCAGGTTAAGCCGACGAAGCGGCCAGCTCGAGTCGAAGCCGCTGGCAGTCGGGGTCCAGGAGTCTTCATTCAGTTTTTTCATTCTCCCGGCACCAAGCAAGGCCCACCATGAAACCACACTCCCTAAGAGACGGAGGATGTTCATGTGACAGACCGCAAGACCCTCCCCGCTTCGCCGCCTCATGGTGCTGAAGGGTCCGGCACACCAGGAGCCGGTGGTTTCGGTGATGCGTGCCTTCTCGAAGGGCCTTTTCGGTGTCAGGCCTCACAGGTGTGAGCTGGTAGGTGCAACATGCCACATCGCATGGGCCTGAGAAAAGCCAAAGGGGCGTTTTGAGAAAGAGAAAAACACATGAAAACACTTGGAACAAAGAACGGAAAACCATCCTCCTCTTTTTTTCTTTGGAGCGCTGTTTGGGAGAAGGCTTGACTGGACATCCCGAGCCATCCACGTGTTTTCCGGTCTCACAAGGAGGACGCTCGTTTTCCTCCCGTGCTGTGTCTCCACACGGTGCATGTCTTGAAACGCCCTCACGGACTGTTCGGTCTCGCTGTGCGGATTCCAGAGATGGTCCACCTGAGCGGAAAGGTCTCCGTCTCTGCGGACAGGACACCCGGGGCGAGGCGAGACGAGACGAGACTGAGGTGCGTCCTTGGAGACCGTGGGGGGGGCTCGGAACCTCGGAGAACCTCGGAAGTGATGGAAGGGAAGGGCAGATTTAGCTTATAGGTACGCGTGGGTCATGGAGATCAAGCCCCCTCGCCCCCTCCCAAGCGCCACAGGGGGGGGGGGTACAGTAGGAGGAAGAAGCGATGTGATGTTGGGGCGCCCATCCGCGATGAGGCCAAGGGGCTCCACCCTGGAGCAGCCAGACTAATGGCACCCGGCACTCAGCAGCCTGCGGAAGTGTGAAGTTTGTCAACGCAGGGCTCAAAGCGATGGAAAAAGGAAACACTTCATTGAGAGGCCTGTGAAAATGGCCAAGGATCCAGTTTTGAAAAAGAAAGAAGAAGAAGAAGAAGAAGTAGAAGTAGAAGGGAAAATAATTTTTTTCAAATCCTCCTCCGTCAGTCCATCAAGTCGCTCCCCCCTCAAAAGCCTGGGCCTCCGTCATCCAGGCACCTTGCGCACCATGCGAGTGGCGGAAATGGGGTGCTTCGTACAAGAGGTCGTTCTGCCTCGGCACGAAGCCGCTCCGACCGACGGCCGGGCCGTGTGGCCGCAAAGGATGTCCCCCCGGGAAGATGTCATGTCAGAGTCAATTTTTCCTCATCCGGATGACCCATGCAAATCTTCCACCCTTTTGGGCACGTCCTTCTGGTCTCAGGATATTTGCGAACGATCTCCTCCAAATTCATGTCCTGCAGGGAGATCGTGCTCGATCAAAGGAAGAGATCCAAAAAGGTCCAAATCTTCCCAGTCGACCAATGCTGTCCAAAACACGGAAAAAAGCTAGAAACGCATTACTGCCACGCTCTCTCCCAGTCCGCCATGCTGTCCCAGGTGCTTTAGGTGGCGAATTTCCAGAAAGGGTTCCAACTGTGCTAGCAGCTCAGGCTTGTAGCTTTCGTAAGATGACTCCAACCAAACCTCACACAACGAAGACTGATACAGTTACACGAAAACACCACAGGCAAGAGATCTGGAATAAAGCAGCAGGAAGGGGTTCACAACAAAATAGACTGTTTGGGATTCACAAAAGCATCCAAAAACCTGTTTCTCTTTCCTGATGACACTCTGTGTATTTAACAGTCGACTTCGCCAGGCAGCATGGAAGTCCAGCCAAACACCGAAGAGCGGCGAGCACGGATTCACACTGCTGGCCAACTTCGACCTCGTTCGTTCGCCGTGCACGCTGTGAAAGTGCGAAACCTCTGTGTGCTTCAAGGATCCCGGAGTGTGTGTGTGCGTGCGCCCAAAGAATGCCCAAAGGATCCATAAGGGCCAAGAAGAACACACCTGTCACCTGGCAAAAACACGCCAGCTGCCCTTTTCCTCATTCCCTTCCCCTCCTCAACTCCTCTTCATCACAACATATCACACGACCCATCTTCACTCCCATTCCGCACCGTCTTCACTCCCTCCACCGTCTCGTCACCAACGAAGCTCCCGTCATCCGCTCCGCTCTTCCGCTCTTCCGCTCGGGCCCCAAGTGGCCGGATGCCGAAGTGCGTGTGGCCTCGGCAGTGGCCCGGCGCCGGTTGGTACTTCCGCAGGAAGGCGTCCTCCACCATCTCCAGGGCCTCGGGCGATCCGTGAACCCGACCGATGGAGGGGAGTGGGAGGGACAAAGGGATCCTGATCGGTAGCAGAACTGCAGGCGCCGAAAAGGAGAAGTTTCACGGAGAAAAGAAGAGAACTCCACAAGAAGAAGTCGTTTAGGCCCAAGGGGAAAAGAAGAGATTTTGGGGGGTTGCAAACTTTCTGCCTGAGGCTGAAAAGGAGTCTTCTCACAGGTTTCTCAAGCTTTCTTGTTCTGGTTAAAAAGCATTTCATTAATGAAATGCTCTTTAACCCAATTGTCAGTAAAGTTCTTCTCAGTTTCACGGTGGGGAGCTACTGAAGACTGAAGACTGAGGCAAAATGATGGTCACTTCCAAATTGGGTGCCAAAAAACCCGCCAGTTGCGGCTAGGAGGCATCTTCCACGGTGTTGGCCATCAGGAGGGCAGAAGCATCTGTTGGAATCTGGCCAGGAGAAAGCAGGACAGATCCACCAGCTGGCTTGCCAAACCATGTTATTTTGCCTATGTGTTCACAAATAAGGATCTGAGGAAATCCCTAGAAATCTAACAAAGCAAAGTGCAACATAGTGCACCTGGCTGGAAAAAGATTCTACTTCGTGGATATTCGTGGCATCTTGTTCCATCTTGTTCCCATGGCTTCTCTCTTGACCATCTCCAAACACAACAACTTCCCACCTGCGTTCTTCAGCCCGGTGCACCGGCGGTTCTTTCCCTCCCCGATCCACCCGGCTCCCGCCTGATCCTGGAGGTCCAAGATGGGCAGACCGAAGCTTCGCATCTGCAGATAGACGCTTTCATCCACATTCGCCAAGATCAACGAACATCCCAGCTCATTGGCCACGCTCCTTAGTCTTCATCTCGTGATGGACCCAACATCTCGTGATTTACCGAGCGAGAGACGAGGGACCAACCGAAGGTTAGGGGTTTTTGGTCCGGTCCTCTTTCAGAACCTCTTTCCATTCAGAACCAATCACAAAAAGAAAGTCTTTAGAGCCAGCCATGTGTTCTGTTTGCACCCACCGATGTCTTTCACCTCCGATGTTTGAAACCGAAACCGGTGGCGATGCCGAGATGCAAGACCTCCTGAAAGGCACTGATGGCCTCGGGAAGCCGCCGCATGTTGTAAAAGCCGCTGTGCCAAAGGGCAGTTTGTTGGTGGATGTCAGAGGGGCACCCCCCGACTTCCTCCAAGTGTTTCAGGGGTTTTGTATCTCATATGAATCTGTCTTAGTTGGACCTTGCGGTCACTTGCAAGTGAGCTGTCTTGCAACTCTCTGCCACAGACCCATCATGACTCGTGACTCACAATTGGCATCTACGTACGAAACCCTCACATCACTCCCAAGCCTCTCCGGAAAACCCATGATGAACACCCAAAAGTGCTTGGGGACCTGACGCCGAAGCCGAAGCAAGCCCGGAAGCGCCGCCGAGCTGCGGTGGATTCCATTTGACTCACCAGCTCCAGGTCCAAGATGATGTACTCGGGATGTGCTCTCGCTTCACAGCTCACCACGTGGCTGAAGGAGAACTCCGGCAAATCCAACGGAAAATCGTCCGCGCCGGCGCTCGGATGTCGTCGATAAGAAACGTGGCGCCTTCAGCGGAAAGCGCTTGGAGAGAATGGCGTTCGAAGAGAGGAAGAACCACATGTCGTTCACGCGGGGCAAGCCTGGAAGAATCATGGAGAACACATGGTTCCGATTTCGGATGACCATGAAATACGAGTACCAAACAGGTGGTGCCATCCACTTAAATGATTCTTTCAGGTAGTTTTGGAAGACCCGTGTTTTGAGACAGCACCAAACAAAGGGCCAGTGAGATGAAGGAAATAGAACAAACGGTGAATGGTCGCAGGACTTGGCTAGACTTGTGCTATGTCTCGATAAATAAACAATGACTTCTGTTCCAGTCAGGATAAAAACAACAAGCAAAAATACACCGCGACTTGAAGAAGAACAAGATTGAACCACCCAAACTTCCACACTTCAAACGAGAACCCCTTGCAAGACCCGTTCTAGAAAAACCAATCGTCCACCCAACTTCATCCAACTTCCCTACCCGCTTTGATCCCGGAGATCCACCGATCTGCTTCTCAGAACGCACGACGACGACGCTCGGGACGCGAGGCACTGCTGGCTGAAGTGCTCCAGCGCTTGGACGATCTGTCGCATCGAGGCGAAGTAGAGATAGGCCGTGCGCAACCTCCAAACCTCCGCCTGCGACGGACGTGCCGTGGTGGCGGCTCAGGCGGCTCTCTGGGAATCCGCCGGGTGTGGGACGTCGACGAAGTAGGCTGGAAAGAAGAGGGACGTCGATTGGCAAGGCAATGCAGGTTGAGGGGTACACCCCATGGGCAGAACCGTTGAAAAAATCTAAGAACAGCTTGAGCAATCGGGTTTAACACGGTTGACCAACCAAAAGAAACCAAACCACCACCCCAAAACAGCAAGCCCCCACAACTCCTCCATGCACTCCCACCTCCCCACGCGCGCGCCTGCGAACCCACCCGGTTGAGGTACTCCCGGTCGCACGTGGTGTGAAGCCTCCGATGTTTCCGCACGTGGTGTGAGTCCCACAGGGAGGCTTCGGAGGGATCCGTGTGCCAATTTCAAGGGAGGAAACCCTTTCCGGACATATGCATGGGTGTATGGAGCGAGACCGAGGGAGGGAGAGAGGGAGGGGTGGAGGGATGGAGAGGGATAGGGAGGGATAGGGACAGGGAGAAGAGGGGAGAAGAGGGAGAAGAGAGAGGAAGAAAACCCATATGCGACGAGGTGAAAGGCAAACAGACAAGTTTTACTGTAACTTCCTGGGGTGCCCGGTGGATACATCACAGCTCCACAACTCCAAAAATCCTCATCAACTATATACTCGGCTACAATTGCCCGTGGTTTAACAAACAATTACATTATATAGAAATGAACTATAACCTCCTCACCACCACCCTACCACCCTACCACCTCCCCCAGCATGTCATGTCTCTTCTCCCAAGCCCCCGCCCCGTCCCGCGGTGGACGGACCGAACCCCGGGGCGCCTGGGGCTGCGGAGCTTGCCGAGCGTCTGCCGCGAGCCGAGCACCGGGATGGTGGCCAGCTGCGCCTGGACGATGCCCGCCACCGAGATGAAGCCGAAGAGCATCATGGGAGCGGTGCCCAGAATCACGTACCTCGATAGAAAGAGGGGCATGGGATGGGACAGGGACAGGTATATTGGAGAGGGAGTGTGGAGAGAAACCAAACATCAGAAAAATAGAATAAACACCATGGAAAAGGAAGTAATAGAAGAACGGCAACACCATGGGACCGCAGATGGCTGGTTCAAAAAAAGCAGCAACTGTGTAGCGTGACAAATCAGGAATCTTTAGCGCTGCAGCTCAGTGCTGCACGGACATGCGAAGGCACATCAAGAGAGATGCATGCTGCATGCCGCATTAATCAAACGAAGAAAAAGTACTCTGATACTGCCGACTTATCTTAACTTGATGTTCACATCACCAGCACATTTATATACATCTGCACCACCTGTATCTGTTTGGAGCTCCAAGGCACATCAGAATCATCACCCAGACCAAGCAATACTCATAGGCTCGCAGGAAGCGAAGAGAGTCCCACACCCAGAACGCCATCAGCTCCAAGCTGAGCCAAACCAAAACCGAGCCAGGAAGGAGCTTGGGAAGCACTGCCACCACGTAGTCGCCACTCACGAAGACCAGACACGAAAAAATGAAGAGCAGAATCCTCACTGGTCCAGTTCGAAGATCAAGGTCGACCGAAGTTAGAACCACTAAGTTTCTGCTACTGCTGCTACTACCACCACCGCGCCACCAGCAGCAGCACCACCACCAACACCACTGCTTCTGTGATGACTGCAATCCTTTTCTCAAAACCTTTTGAGCAATGACCCAAAAAATATGAAAAAGTGTAGCGGCCGTACCAAGAAGCTGGAACTGTTGGCCGTCGGCCCCCAGTGTTCGGCAGGTAATGCTGAAAGACATCACCATGTTGGCGCTCAGTCCAGAGAGCAGGCCACTGCCCATGTTGTAGATGCCATGAAGCATCATTTCTTGGTCAATATCCACACGAATCTGCGTGGAGGACGCCGTGCCGAATCTTAGTTGATGAGAAGACAGACCAGCGACCGGCCACAGACTGGCCATCAGATCATATCAAAGCCAAGACCTTCGCACCCCTCTCATCGGCTTAAGAACCCCCACCATCATACGATCTGGGAAGTCAGTGACCAGTTCGTCCTCACCCCAGCAAAACGACAGAGACCTATATTCACCGTGACCCGTGAGCGACGCATGGAGTGTCGGACGACCTCTCTGGTCCAAGCAACATGTTCATGACGGCCGTCAGGGCTGAGATGCAGGCTGCATTCACCTGAGATGATGCTGAGGACCCAAAGGCCAGACAAGGCTGCCAAGGGAAAGCTGAGGTCCAAACAAGCTAGAAAGTTTTTGGGGTCAAAACCTATCCGTGGTCAAAACCTGTCATGGTTAGAAAGGTGTTTTGGTCGAAGGTCTTTGCCACTGCAGAAACCGTCTTTTTGACGGGAGACATGGTCCGTCCACTTCCTTTATCTTTCTTGAAGGAGTGCTGGGCTTGGTGCTTTTCAGCATCGTTTCACCGGAAAAAGAAGAAGAAAAAGAAAACAGCACTTCCCCGCTTCTTCCGTACGCGACCTTTTGAGGGTCCGCCTTGGGCACAGGGGGGCCTATGACTGCTGTTTTCGCTTGACCTCAAACAGCCACCGTCAGCATCACGTCCCAAGAAGAAGCACGTCCCCAACGGTCTTGGACTTCGAGCGGCCACCGTCAGCCAGAAGGTCGGAGAGAGAAACTCTTGCCAATCCACCGGCTCCGACTGCCAGTGTTGTGTCCAAATGCGGTAAAACACGGGATGTTGGGGCATCTGCACCTGCCAAAAGGCAAAGTCGACACAGCTAATATGCACTGCACAGTGCAATCACGACTGTTCCACATCAGCGTGCTTTGCACCAAACCCCCCCAATCTTTTCCAGTCTTTTCCAGTCTACATGTCGCTTCCTTAGTCTACAGCTTCCGCCCCAATCAATAACGTCGCAAAAACCACGCTGCGACTCTTCGCTGCGACTCCTCGCCCCCGGCCGCACCGGGAAGAGGAGCCCCTGGCCGCGGGCGGCTTCCAGGCCGGTGCCCGACACCAGCCTCGCGACAACGACGGCGTGTTCGGACACAACGGCGCGAAACGGTGGTTCCAAGGGCGACGGAAACGACCTGCAACGGTGACGGGTTCCTTTGAAACGCATAGGCTATGCATGGCTATGCGGTGGAAAATGAGGAAGGTAATAGAAGGGGATGCATCGGATAAGATATGATAAGATGTTTTTGCCTGCCTGAGTGAGAGAGAGAGAGAGATTGGTTCAATCTCATTCACGCATTCGCAGCCAAGAAGCATCCAGAGAAAGAACACACCAGCCTCGGGTCTCCAGCAACCACGAAGAAAGAGATTCAGCCAAGGCACGGCTCTTTATGGAAAGACAGTAGCCAGGAGTCACAAGTCGGGTGTGGTTTGGCAGATATTCCTTGCTGTAAGTTCACACCAGCACAACAAGCACTCAGAATCACGAAGATCCATCCATCTTCCCCAAAAAATGCGGCTCAGCTGCCTCTGCCAAGAGAATGCTCGGAATCAAAAGGTCCTGCAAACACACAGAACCAATTCAGACAAACACCCTCTCATCAACCAAAAAGCGTGCATGATGGGTACCATATCAATTCCAAAACCCTCCCAACCGTGCTTGCTTGTTCATCCGGCAAGCCCGGTTGCCCATGGTTTCAGGATGTTTGTCTTTTTCCGGATGTCCTCCACATCGGATTCATCCCCAAAACCCATTTTCATCCAGCATCACACGAGCCGAAGGAGATCCCCTCGGAGAGAAAAAACCGCAGCTCGGCTCCTGGGAGATGTAGGGCAGCTTCACATTGCGCGCTCGGAGCGTAAACATGCCGATGCCTGCCAGGCAGCCCGGAAGCCATTCGTGCAAGCACTTGAGCTCGAACAAGCACGTGTAGCTCCCAAGCTCCACCAAGCCTTCGCGGGACGAGCGTGCGGCCGGCCGGCCGTGCTGGAAGCCGTGGTGGGGGCTGAGGTGGACGAAAAAACGGGAGTCGAGTTGGAAAACGGGTCGTTAGTGCGTCCCCAAGGTCCCGAAAAGGCTGCCGAGGTCTTTTTGGATACGAAGTGGTTTGGGTGGTAAGGACTTGGTGTACTTGGTCTTCTCTGGAGTTCCTGTTGCAATATTTGGCACGCTCGTATGTAGCAAAACAGTGCATTCTACTGTAGTGCTATGTATTGGTGCACCGCAAATGTCGCAACACAGCCCTGACTCGATCATTAGCTGAGCAACTTGCAAAGCCTGGAGTCATCAGGTTCAGGGCATACTGCAACAGCACCTGGAGCCACAACCCCCCCCGACGGTCCACCGGTTTCTACCACGTCGTCTCGTCTCGGTCGAGATGGCTGAGGCTGCGGACGGCGCCGGTGCCGGCCATGAAGCCTCCGTAGATCACGAAGGGACAGGCCTTCACGAGGCGAGCCAATCTCAAATGTCCTGCGCGAGACTTCGACGGGAACGCGAGGCCGCAGAGGAGGAGGAGGGCGGCTGAGCGCCTGGGCGAGAGCTGAGCTGGGCGAGAGCTGAGCTGGGCTTTTTCTGGTGGTGGAAAGCACGCAGCCACATGCAGGGAATCAGTCAGCAAGCAAAAGCCCATGAAAGAAGAAGGAAGAAGAAGGATGATGATAGGACCAATCCCTCACCCTACCCAGCCATGTCCTACCAGCCAAACGCAGCCGCCGATCAGCACGGTGCAAATGGCTGCCTCAAACAACGGTACCGGCGCTGCCCAAACGACAAACGATGGAATTCCTAGTAGCTTCTTGTTCCTAGTAGTAAGGCCAGGAACTACTGGTAGCGATGCCCTTGTTGCTAGTAGCTATTCACTCCTAGTAGTAAGGCCAGGAGCTACAAGTAGCTTCTTGCTCCTAGTTGCGATGCCCTTTGCTCCTAGTAGCGTCCTTGTTCCTACATGGAACATGTCGACTCAAGCAAGTTCCCATCACAGCTCCGTCATCTCAACGCACAGACTACTCTCACCAATCTGCAGGATAGGGTGGTGGGATCTCTTGATTCACTCCATTTCTACGATCTATCGAGTACGACGTGGTGTCCTCTCCTATTCCTCTCCCGTCCGGAGAAGAGAGAGAGAGAGAGAGAGCCACTTCTTCCATTTGAAGTCTGAAGAAATGAATTTGACAACTACACCAACCACCTCCTAAGATGTTCATGGAAGTGGAGTTGACCACCTCCGTGGTCACCGGTGATTCTTTCAGGGAGTGAACTTGGAGTGCCATCTCCGTAGGCTTAGCAGGCTGGCTGTAGCAGGCTTCATCCAAGGAGCCATGGTATAGATCGTGGCGCATTTGGCTGGGCCCAACGTCTTGAAATACTCCGCCAGGATGATCACCGTGGGAATGCCTCTGCTCGGGCGAAACTTGTTCGGCCGCTTATTTTGGGTGACGAGACATGGAAAAAACCATGCTTTTGTGACTGCTGTGGTTTCAATATGTTTCAATGCTTGAGGGCACGATTTGGAACAAAACTAACTCAATCAACTGCAGTATGCAGTTTTCGTTGCTGGTTTCTGCTGAAGATCTGAGCAACCACAACGCTCCTTGCCCAGAAGAATCTAACGAGATCTGTGAGAGATTGGGCTTTCCAAGCTGCTGGCACCAGCCACGCCGAACTTGATTTCGGAGCCCATTAAGCTTCCAGCATTCGCCACCTTTCCGGAAGGCTTCTCACATGTTGCACCCTACACGATATGAGCGGTTCTCAAAACGCTTCAAAATCCTTGGATACGCCGTTGGCGTCTGTTTTCGCAGGCTGCAATCCATCCCCCTAACAAAGAACCGTCAAACCAACCTCCTCCACCCGAGTCTAGACGCCACGACGCCACGACCTGTCCTTCGTCCATCCTGTCCGAGTCCGAGTCCTGCCGACCCAGACACCAGCGTGGTCAGGAGACCGATCGACATGCCCAAAGCTTGATAGTCGTGATTCCTGAGCGAGACGAGCGAGACGAGCGAGACGAGCGAGACGGACACGGACGGCGGCGGTGGCCGGGGCCGAACGGAGCCAGTCCACACGCGCTGCCCTAGACCCTAGACTTACTTGGAGCCAAGGCGCGGATAGGTGGGAGAGGAAGGAAAGAGCAAGCCACCTGCATCCATCGGTCCGTTCTCTTTTTTGGGGGGGAAAAATGTAACATCATCTGACATGTGCATCCGAACCCCCACGTCTTCGAAGCGCGCGGGCTGCGGGGTCTCGGTCGGGGGGCACCTAGGGACAAGCCGTCGGTGGCACCCATGAAGCACGCCACGAGCGCAGCGAACCTCGCGGCGTCGGAGGAAGCATCGACTTTGTCGGAGGAGGCCCCAAAGTGGGGGGCTTCTATCCTTTGTTGGGCAGTCCAACCAAAGACATACTTGCAAGGATTATGATTAGATGTTGGGTATGTCTCCCTATATGTATTACTTCGGATGGGTTAGTAAAAGGCACGTAAAGTGACTAAATTTATTATCAAAAATAGCTCTTGTGAGTGATCATCTTCTGTCGACTGTTGGTGGAACACACACATCTGTGAGTCGTCCTGCAGACCTCCAAATATTTGCTTTTAAATATGTGCTTTTTCGACAGTTCAGTTTCTCCTTTGAAGGTCGGAAAAGACGTCACACTTCTCGTTGCAGCCGACAAGTCTTTGGCATCTTTATACGGTCACTGAATATCAAGGTGTACTTGTGGAAAAAGCATTAAAGAAAACAGCACCTTCCTTGAAAAATCGAATTTTAAAAAAGAAAGAAGTACAGTACAACCAAACCCTTCGGCTTCGACCTGCCTCTCTCGCCGTCCCACCACCGATCCTGGGCGCCCCGGGCACGTTCCGCACGAGGCGCGCGCGGCCCAGCAGCGCTTCGGGCGCCGCAGGGGCTTGGCCTCGGTGGAAGCTGAGACCGATCGGTTTGGTCCCAAAAAGAACGATAGATGTTGTTTAATGTCCATATGAATGGCATCGTTTAGCCCCCCTTATTCGCCGCGCACGCACCCAAGTCTCTGATAATGTTGTGTGAAAGTCGAAAACCTCAAGATTCTTCAAGAGAGGGTTTCGGCCCAATCCTCTCAGCAAACAGGGACGCTTCATTTTGTGTGTTGCACATCTCGTCTTGAACGATCTACATGCTACCATCGATCGTTCAGCAAAAAGAGCATGCAGCAAGAAGCCACGCCACCGCGCCACCAGCTGCCAGCTGAGAATCCCCACATGCTTCTACCACGAGGGTGTCTGCATGCAAAGCTCGCACTTGGGATGTTCTTTCGGGCTTCGCTTCATCGGCACTGAGCGGGAGCAGCGGAAGCGACAAGGACTTCGCCGACCTGCGATGCAACGGCCGTTTCTGTGGTCCCTTCTTGGAAGAAACCTATACCAGGACCCCCAACGGGGTGGTTAATGCACACCCCGAATCACAGCTAAGGGGCTATAAATAGACACCCCTTCGAGGGTCCTGGTAGGGCCTCATCCGTTTGTCTCGTTTGCTCAGAGAAGTGTCACCACATCCCTTTGAAAGCCATTCAGCCGCACCTGAAGTTGAGGCGCCGCCTCGCGGGAGACAAACGAAGAATACAAAAAGACGCCCGGGCAAACCGACCACACCGACGCCCCAGAGTCATTGGTCGCCCAGCGCAACCGACTCCCCAAATGGACTCGCCCCCCTCCCGTCTTCGCTCGCGGCGCTTTCGGACCAAATGTGCGCCGAATTCGACCCCCCCTCCCGTGGCGACACGTGCGCGTCACGCGGGGGGGAGCGCACCGCAACGGCCGCCACGAACTACCGCGCCGCGTCGAAGAGGACATCGGCCGCATGCGCGAGAAGGGCGGGCGAAGTCGGGCGGACGGACGAAAGGCCTCCGGGACTGCAGATTGGGCGAGATGAGCGTGGACACGTCCCAGGTCTTGCACGACGGCTCCAGTGGCTCCATGCGCGGGGCGACTTGGGAGGTGGCCGGTGGTGACCGGTTTGGAAGCTTGCCATGAAGTGAAGGGACATTTTGGATGAAAAATTGACACGCGCAAACCTTCCACACGTTCTCTCACTTCTTCTCCAGCCATTCAGAGTGCTCCACTTGGTCACTTAAGATCCTTTTTTTCGCCATGGCAGCACATTGGACCCTGAAAACCTCCCACCAAACCATGGTCCTTCAGCTTTGGTGACCGCCTAGCGCCTACCGGTGGCTGCGGCGCGCGTTCGTTGCTGCGGCTGCGGCTGCCGGAGCCCAAAAGCCAAAGAACGGTGACCGAAGGAAACCAACGAAACGAACATGTGATATAGAGTACTGAAACAATCACCAAAAATGCTTAACAATTGCAACAAATCTCCGGTCCAATGACCTAAACCAACGAAACATCCAAATCATCCAAATCTAGTGCTTGGACATAGTCCTTGCCGGCTTGTAGTCTGGTTCAAAGGATCCTTGGAGGATGGAATCTAGATATGGTCAGACCGCTGAAAGCTCTTTTTGGCGACCCCATTGCAGTGAACACATCACACACGTGAATAGGCCGCGAAGAGGACTTCTTTGCCCACCATCATGAACTATGAAACAACACAACACTGAGTCTCATAATGGGTTTGAAGACTTGTCCAACGGCCCAAATGAGAGGACCTCTGTGTGGACATGGAGTTGTACTCTTGGGGCAGAATCTGTTGGCCAGATACCCACTATATAGGTTTTACAATTCAAACGGGAGGGGTTCATGAATCAAGAGTCTACATGAATGGGTATTGAAGGCACTTACAACCCACAGGCCATGCACCTAAACGTGAAGCCGTCGTGGAAGGCCTTGGGTCAAAATCTCGCCAAGATTGAAGGCGGCACGGAGAAGATGTCTCACCGGAAAACGTCCGAAAAACCGTGCCAAGTCAGTTAACCCTATTTGTTTCATGATTCAAGAGCTGCTTTTCTCACAAAAACACACAGAAAAAACTCAGATGTTGTGGAATCCATCTGCCTGATCCTCCATCCTTGGCGAAGCGCAATATTTTCAAACGCGCCACCTCTGCATTCAAAACCCGATCGAGACGTTTTTGAGGCCGTCACTCTACGACTCTAGGATACCTCGAAGCTTGGCCATCCTTCCTGCTGGTGATGATCCACCAAGGGCACGTGAAAGGGGAAGAAGCAACGCACTTCCTTCTAATAGACCATGTAGTTGGGTCGTTTCTTCACGCTGAAATGTTCCGCGGGACCCGCTCCGGTCCAATGCACCAAGCAATCATACAACAAGCGAGGAATCAGAAGGATCGCTAAGAGATACACCAGCCTCGCCAGCACATGACCCTGCAAAGGCTCCGAAGTCAAAGAGGGCAACGCCGCGATGGCCAGGCCCAGCCACGCCGTCCATTCACCAAAATAGTTCGGATGACGACAAAGCGTCCACAAGAAGTACCTGTCACAGGGTGCCAGGCCCAAGGTGGCCGGGGATCCCGGATTCAGACCTTCACGGCGAAGGCGTTGTTGCTCCTCCATGAAGGAGATCTTCTGGAGGTCTGCAGCACTTTCGAACATCCATCCACCCAGCCAGATGCCCAGTCCCATCCACTCCAAGAGATGTAGACCTTCCGCCGGGTTGCTGACGGTCAGGAAGGCGGGCACGCACAGCAACACGGAATTGGAGAAGCCCTGGCCCAAGGTTTCTTGCTGCATCTTTAGCCACCAATGGCTTTCCGGCATGCCGTCGATCTGGGACCACTTGTGCTTCGCATAGCGATAGCGAGGCAAGTCTTCGGCGAAGCGGTAGGTGAAGTTGGTCGACTGGCCAAACATCACCAGGGCGCCCAGGGCCATGCGGCCACCATGCAAGAGGTAGCAAGCAGACATCAACCAGCGCCGTGGCCAGAAGCCAGACCCATTGAGAAATGCCACCAGTGCAATGGCCACCAGTCCACTGGGCCAGGCAATGTCAACATAGGCCATGTGACCGGTCAGGGCCACCGGCAACTGAACAAATGGCAGAAACAAGGCCGCCTGCACCCAGCAATTCGTGTAGAAGAGCGTCTTCAACTCGGGTGGTGCCATCCAAATGCCGAGGCCAAGAGCATACACCACCAAGCTCTCCAAGGGATGCAAGTTGCCCGCCACCGACACGTAATGAAACCAATGCCCTTTCGGCACGCTCATGGCCGGTGTGGCACGTGCGTGGCTCGCGCGCGACCCGTTGGAAGGATGCACCAGACGTTGAGGAGTCTCTTGTTGCGTGAACGAAGGTGTTGGAAGGTCGTATGTGAACACACGTTTTTATATAAGGTCATGAGAACAAAAGAAACGGGGTGCAACACGTGGGCCAAACACCAGTGAGCAGCTATCTGATCCGCATGCCCGCGGAAAGCAAACAAATCCCAAAACTCCTCCATCTCTGCGTCAACGTGAGTCCTCTGTTCACTCAGCTTCCCTTTCTTCTGCTAATTCACCCAGGGAACTGAGAAGCCAGACTCGGAACAAATCTTTTCCAACCAAAAACGGGTTACGTAGACGTAGACGCCGTCATCCAAACACATCACCATCCACCAGTGGCACGGCCTCGTGAAAGACGACCCTTTTGGTTGGAAAAGACGTCCAGGTCCATCCGCTTCCACTTCGGACGGATCCACACGACGGACGCGGAAGCGGGAGTCGTGGACTTCCGAATGGACTGGCTGCCAGGCATAGGTTTCAAAGGCCGAAGGAATGGGCATTGGGTTTTTTCGGGGGATGGTGTTTTGGGACTGGTGAGCTCTCTCTCCACCAGTCCACGGTGAACGGAAGAGGACCAAGGAGGAGACCACCCGTCGGCATCGGCCGAACATGGCGCCACGAGCGCCGAAAACACCGTACCCCAACCGGAGGTTTTGGGGCCATGTCCTTCTTCAACTCAAAACATCACCGCCTCCCCAAGAGAAGAGCCCCCTCCAAGGTGCAGAAAAGTGATTCTCATGTTCTCACCCCTTTTGATCCCTCTTCCTGCTTGGCAGATGCGTCGGGTGAGACGTCCGGTCTCTCGAGCCCTAAACCTCCAGCTCGGGAGGACACACTCAGCTGCTCCGGGGGACTGCTCGGGTGGACACACCGCTGGTACTTTCCGTGCTTGTCCGAGCCCCAAAAAGTGCAACGGGCTTCTTTAAAGGTTATGTATGCCAGCACCTTCCAACAGGACTCCTCTGGTTGCTCTTGGAGACTTAAAAGTGTCAGGTGATGACCTGGCAGTGAGGGTGCTGGCACATGATATATGCACGACTGTGGTGATTTGTGCTGGTAACTTGATATGCCTTTTTTGTGCTAAGGCTGCTAAGGAGAAGTTAGCTGGTAGCTAAGTGGTCAGGTAGACAAGCTGAGGTAGATGGATATCCCCTATGAAAACTGAGGTCTTCACATTCCAAAGAAAATTGGATGTGCAGTATGTTGGAAAATCAACCTGCAAGTTACCTTATCGAGTTCTCTCTCTCTCTCTCTCTCGTGGATGTCCTACAATGTACTGGAAACCTTCAATAACTCCCAAGTGTTCTTTTCTCAACAGCCTTTGTGTGTTTTCTGTCCAGTTGCAAACTACTTCACATGTGTTTCGCTAAGAAAACCAAGCAAAAACTCCCCAAGCTGACTGCCCAGCAATCACCCTCCCCGGAGTGTCAAGGTGACCCCCCCCCGCGGCGTCGCTTTCGTCCGCGGAGAGGGTCGTCTTAGAACGAAACAGATCCGGAGCTGCGGTTGAGCAACGAAGGTTCTCAAGGAAGGAGAGGGGTCCATCGGGGTTGATCCACAGTCCACGTCTGGTACTGGCAGTAGCACCGAAACAAAAAACATAAACTTCCACACAGGCTGCCACCGTGACTTTGGACATGGAATGGCCATTTAAAAAAAGAAAAGAACTTTGACACTGCCATGACATGACATCACATTGAATGGAAACCCAAAAAAATGTAACAAAAATAGAACGGAATGAGAAACAACGCCATCACGGCGGAAGGTGCACGGCCGAAGGGAGCACGTGATGACCGGCTGAAGAAGAAGAACGGGTTCCGTCGGGTCTTTGTCCGTTCGGGCGAACGGGTCGTTTTGAATGACATGTGGTGTAACACAAGCGCTGTATGGGAAGAACTTCGGAAGGAACCGAAGGAACCAACATCACGTCCATTCAAGCAATTAGAAACCTATGGAAGACCTACTAAAGACTATGAACTTTGGGAAGAACCTCTAGGTCATTCTCCAGAAAGGCATCTTCTCAAGTTCATCTGAGTTCAAACCTGGTCCAAAGCCCATCATCAGTTCATCACCCCCGTCCATGTTCTGCAGGACAATCGTGCTGAATCGAAAGCTGGATCCGATACCCGGCTCCTTCCAATGCAACCTTCACTGCCCTCCATCACTTGGACGTGCTGATGTCGGTTTCACCCGGAACAAGGTACCAAGAACGTCCCCACAGAGGAATTCACAGTCACCCGATTTAGCAAAACCAAGTGTTTCGCCCCGGTTCCTTAGCCGGTCATGTGCCGGTGTCCGCCCTCGCGCTTCAAGGGCGGACAAAGCTCCACGGGAGCGTCTCCGTTGGGGTCAGCAACCAAACTGCGTCGATCATGGGGTAAGGCACCCCTTGCGAAAAGAAACTGAGACAATCGAACTGACCCACGAAATGACCCCGAACGCAGAAAGACTGAGACATGGAAAGCGACCGCGCCAAAAACTTCACCAAAAATGGACCAAATAGTCCATCGCTCACTCCTTCCATAAAGCCCTCCTCACGACCAATGGGGGCCAACCTGAAAAGGCCTGCGAGGCAAGTCCGCTTGTCCAACATGTTGTGTTTTCCATGCTACGGTTGCTGCAGACGGTTGCGGACGCTACGACGATGCTTCGCGAACAAACCCCCGAAGTTCAAGGAGAAACCCTTCGCGACGCCATTCCGGATTACACCTCGCACCCTGGGGCGCGTCAAAGGCCCGTGGTCCAATGGTTCCCGTACCATTCTACTTCGAGGTCGAAAACAAGGCTCAACGAGCCGATGGTTTGACTCATACCTTGACGTCGTGGTGGAGAATCAGAACAACATCCCAACACCTGACGATGGTCCAGTCTGACGGTCTTCTGGTCCAAAACGAAATGGAGTGGTTCTTCTGTATGACCAACTATCTTATTGTTGCTAACAGCAAACATTGTTACTACTAGTAAGGCGCTTGTTACTAGGATGCACTTGTTCCTAATAGCTTATTGTTTCTAATGATCCAAACTGAAGTCAGTTCCGGAAGTCGCTGGTTCCTCAAACTAAACGTGGGATCTGTGGGAAAGGAGAGCCTGCTCCCAAGGGCAAATACCGACCAGGAAATTGCCAGGGGTTCATGCGCGTGACGCGCTCATTCTTGTGCTACGTGGACTTGTAGACGTGGGCAAAAGGAGACCGCCCAGACGCTCCTATGGGACCCCTCCGGCCCCTCAGATCCCTATGGTTTTGAGGGACTAAGCGCTATTTGGAGTGTCTGGGCAACGCAAATACCATGCCCTGGGCGCCCTGGGCATGCCACTGCCCCAACCATTTCTGCACGGCGCAAGACTTGGGTAAAGGGTACCGGGTACCGCTGGGTGGTTCAGTCCATGGAAGAGAAGAATCCGGTCAACACCAACTCTGGTGGCCCCACGTCCCCGTGGCGATGATCCCTGCGACGTCCGCGGCGATGATCCCTGCGTCCACGTCCGCGGTTGGAACGGCTGCGCCTGACGTCTCGTGACGGTTGGTCGTCTCACGCGGGAGCAGGCACCACAGCTGCTTGGTCCTGAACAGCGTCGGGTCTGCCCCCCCCCCCAGTGCATCGCTACTAGTAACAAGGGCATTACTACTAGTAACAAGAAGCTACTAGGGGCTCCTGGCATCGCTACTAGGAGCAAGGACGCTACGAACGGGCCCCCGGGAAACGCACCACCCCAACGGGACGACGGCCCCGACCTTCCCGATGACCACCACCTGTGTGGTCGTCACCTGCGGGGGGGGGGCGGTCGGGTCCTTGCAAGGTCGCATGAAGACCCTCCAACAAACATGGGTGGGTCAAAACCTGGAGCCTGGGGTAGGTTGACCTGACAGGTAGTCTATTCTCTTCTTCCCGACGCGTCGATGCGGTCACGACTGGTTTACATGGCATTCTGCCACGCACCCAAACACCTTGGTGGGAAAAGCCAGGGTGTGGCGGAGCCCTCAGTGGACGGCCGCCCCCAAGACGAACCATGTTCCTTCACGGGAGTGGAATCCGTCAAGTCTTTGTGACCCAAAAGACCCTCCAAAGCCACCCCCGTGCCCTGGGCAGTTGGTGTGTTTTGTTCTCCTGTTTTTGTGCATGTCTTATCGCTTGCTTGACCACTTCTTCGTTCCAAAATCCACCAAAACCATCCAAAACCGTTGATCGAGGCGACTCCCGGGTTTGCTTCCAGTTGGGGCCGAAGCCTTGTCCAGTCGAGTCCCGACAAAAATGGAGGTTCGCCCACAGTCGAACGTTCGCTTACACGATCTTTCTCGACCCTGCCGAGGCAGGCAATGAACTGGAGCCCATGATGTTCCATTTGGTCGCAGAATGTTCGATCAAATGTTCCGTGGATAAAAACTCATTGTGTTCTGGTGAGCATGGACTTTCGATATGGATTCATATCTTTTTCCAGTGACCCTTTGTGTTCCTTTGTTCCATGATGTTCCATGATGCTCAATGTCGATTTTGGTCGATCAAATGTTCCACAAAAGACTCACCGGATGCTTCCGGATGCGAACTTCACAGCGCATGGAACTCGCCGACCCCCTTCCTGCCGTCTCCAAACCCATCTGCGTTTCATGTGAATCTGCCGTCGCCGTCTCCAGCCTCGCCCAGTCCACGAACCCCCACGAACCCGCGCGTCGCTTCGCGGCGATCGACGCGAGAAAAGCACCCCTCCGCCTGCGATTGGTCCATCTTGGCCTTGCAGCAGCCGCAGCAGACGCAGCAGCTCAAGGAGGCACCGACGATGCCAAGGACAATAGCGGCCCAACCGTAGGCGCCCAAGTACACAATGATGAAGCCGAGGGCATTGCACAGCGCCGAAATGTCCTCAGGTTTCACAGAGTAGATGCTAAGTGCAATAGGCAACTGGACCCAACCACATCAGGGTCAAATCACAACTGTGTGCTTTGGATATAAAACACTCCGCGGTCAGCCCACAAAAAATGACATGGATAGATGCATGGCCAAGAGGCGCTTCTCTCGCTAGAAGTGCAGCCAGTACAGCTTGCACTGCACAATTCATCCACCCAGGGGCCACATGCTCCCATAGACCCGAAGGCAGGAATGATGATAGCCAAGAGACCCAAAATGATGCCAGCGGCGCCGATCCACTGCGCAGTCAGGAGCAAGAGATCCAGGTAACATGTCCAATTGTTTCTTAATATGTTTTATATGTTTTGTGTATATACACATCAAACTGGCCCGAACGCAACCACAGCCCCTTGCCAAACCGATCGCCACCGAAACAAAGCGAACGATCGCGCCTTGCCAAACTGCTTCAGAACTCCACAGCACAAGGGCAAGGACGCCAGCACCACCACGAGGATTGCGACCCCGATTCCACCCAGCGATCCCCCCAGGAGTGATCCTGTGAATGCTCCCTGAGTGCGAGTTCTAGCCCGGATTCCGGGTCAACCAAATGCGAACGGAAAGACTCCGAAAACACTGGAATGCGCCCGCATTTGACTGACCCAAATGCATGCAGTTCTATCTTTTATATCAACTGAGGGGGATCAAACACTTCCCACTTCTTTCTGTTGCCATGCATCTCTTGCCAGACGTGTCCGCAGGGGAGGGGGCTTGGCCAGGACTTAAACCATACGACGAACCTAATAGCAATGGCCTCCAATTCGTTCACGGCACGGCGCCCTGCGCCACCGCGCGCGCGGGCGTGCGCGCGTTAGGAGAACCTTCTCCTTGCAACCTGCGGTTCAGCGCCGGACGTTGTCCGAAGCGGTTCTGCGTGTCTTTCGATTAGTAAGGTTGTACATTTGGACAGAGTCTGAGAGGTCATTCACGCGGCGAAGACCTGCTTTTATACGCGTGTGGCTCACAAGAGACGCTATGTAGCGGAGGGCCTAGGCATGATCCTCCATGTCTCAGACCCCCAAAAAACCTCGATATGTCCGAGACTCTCAATGTCGGAGACCTCATTCGCTCCCTTCCGCCATCCTCTCCGCGGCGAGACTTGCGCCCATGCCCAGCGTGGCGATCACTTCGAAACAGGGGCGATACTTAACACCAAGCGTGGGGGGGTTATCCCCTCGCCCTTTATATCATGTGTAGTTATAGTTGCCCTTCAGGTGTAACCTTCTTTCTGAAGATACCTGAAATATGCCAAGTTGCTTGATCCCACTGAGGTGCTCCGTTGGTGCACGCCTGCGCGACCAACACCGTGCTGGCGCATAACAAGGCTGCGATGCGTGCTGCAACCATCTCTGAAGACCTCAGCGAAAAGTGACACACCCTGAGAATCTCTCAAAAAGGACTCTGCCAGTCGTGCAAGAACACACAACATCTGCGCTTAATGTATTTCTTGTGAATGGAAAAAAATAACAAAGCTGCTTCGGGATGCCTGTCAGCGGATGTACGGGCTTTGATGCGGCAAAGGCGGAATTGAAAAGCTGAGGAACCACAGACGGCGGCGGTGGCATTTTCGAAAGAAAATACCCTCACTCCAGAAAACATCAGAATGGGAGCCCCTGGCAGTGCGGTTTTCACAACATGGTTCAATGATTTGAAAGATGTGAGGAACATCAAACAGTGTAAAGGGCTTGGCACTTCGAAGTCGAACTTCACTGGTTTTGTCACTTAGCTGCCTGTTGCAGCCATTCCACTTTCTCCAGCTCTGCCAAACATCGCTGACAAGCGCAGTTCAACTGACGCATGCGCGCCGCTCCGCGTGGAGCTTTGGGGGTTGGCAGGAAAAGCGTGGTGCTGGCCCAACAAGGAGGCTGTTAGCGCAATTGCTTGTAGAAACGACCTGCTCAATACTATCAAGGTGAAGCAATTGCAAGGATCACAAGGCTTCAAGACCAGCAATTGTGCAGTAACAGGGGCCATCGCAGTACAACCAAGGGAAGGTCAGGACTTGCCGAGGGAACTTGCCCAGGTGATCATACTTGAGAAACATTGAGCTTCATCAGTGGTTCGTGTGTATCGTGTGTCCGTGACCATCCCTCATCCGTGGTATCTTTTACCCACTTCATTGACTCAAAACGGCTTGCCAGCATCAGCCCACTGCAACGGTCAGTGCGTGCTGGTGAGATCCTCAGCAACCATCAAAGGAAAGGGAGAAATCACCAAACAGCAATCAGCCCAATCAAAGGAGAAATGACCAAACCCCATGCTGCATTTGGACCCGGATCTAGTCATTTGGACCCCGGGAAATATGGGCTGTACGCCACAGCAACCTTTTGCTACACCGAAAAGAACAAGATCGCAGCTGCTACGTTGGAAGCTTGGTGTTTGTGAGACTTCTGTGTTTGTGGTCAGCCTGTGTGCTTGGCGGCAATATGTCGTGTCCAAGACCGGAACCGGACGACTGTGGTATCGTACTGTACGTGGCAACGTACCGGACGACTCTGCACCCCAAACACGCCCAAATCAAACTCCCGACTCTCGTCATAACCGAACTCATCACCTCTCGACCAAAATCTTTCTGAGCTTACTTTGTTCAACTTAAGGAGCACCCATCTCACGTGCCTGGGCCGGCTGTTCTCGCGCAATTCTGCAATGTAAATCCCAAAAGCGCTATCAAGAGTCAGATCATGTCCATTCTCTTGACAGAGAGGTGTCAAAGCAGCATCTCTCCCATTCGCAGAGCGGACCTTGCCATGAATCTGGAATCTCGAGAGGTCTATCAGTCCCCCCCAATGGTTGATGTTTAGAGTTTAGCGCATGCATGTTCCCATGTTAAAAAGCTCCCGCACTTGAATGCTTGCTGAAAAACCACCAACTGCGAGCTCGCAGCCGGTGGAGCCCAAGATGGTCAACGAAGAAAAGAGCCATTCCCTACAGGGAACGTTAGACCTCATTTTGCTCGAACTGGTCGTACAAAGCCACTACTCGATGAGGCAAAGGACCTGGTTTTACTGGGTCTTTGAACCTCGAGGGATCAATCTTCTCTTGGGATCCTGTCATCATTTCTCCTACGCACCGACGATCTCGCCGGCCTGTCCGACCTGTTTCATCCTTCCTGGGACCTGCTCATCACGCCGGAGTTGGAGTGCCCACGACTTGGACTTGCTGCACTTGGCCAGCTGGAGCTGGTGGTGGGTCCATCTTGGCCTGGCAGCAGCCGCAGCAGACGCAGCAGCTCAAGGAGGCACCGACGATGCCAAGGACAATAGCGGCCCAACCCCAGGCGCCCAAGTACACAATGATGAAGCCGACGGCATTGCACAGCGCCGAAATGTCCTCAGGCTTCACAGAGTAGATGCAAAGTACAATAGGCAACAGGGCCCAACCACATCAGGGTCAAATCACAACTGTGTGCTTTGGTCAGCCAAAAATGACTTGGATAGATGCATGGCCAAGAGGCGCTTCTCTGGCTAGAAGTGCAGCCAGTACAGCTTGCACTGCACAATTCATCCACCCAGGGGCCACATGCACCCATAGACCCGAAGGCAGGAATGATGATAGCCAAGAGACCCAAAATGATGCCAGCGGCGCCGATCCACTGCGCAGTCAGGAGCAAGAGAAGTTGGTCTGCTTGCAAACCCTACAAGGCCTTACAAGATCCTACAATGGCTGGCAGCATCCAGGGAAGAATTCCAAAATGATCTTCACGACTCCACAACCAAAAGGCACCAAAAGGCTGCTCGTGTCACAAGAATGAACCAATACAAGTATGTATGTGTATATACATATATTGGTGCTAGGCTAATGCAACCACGGCCATATATATTGGTGCTAGGCTAATGCAACCACAGCCCAAACAAACCGATCACCACCGAAACAAACAGAAAAAGCGCCTTGCCAAACTGCTTCAGAACTCCACAGCACAAGGGCAAGGACGCCAGCACCACCACGAGGATTCCGACAACGATTCCACCAACTGATCCACCGATGAGTGATCCTGTGAATGCTCCCTTAGTCAATCAGCCGAGAAGGACTCCTCAAGTTCAATGCACTGAATGTGTCCAGTCCCATGGCGTCCACTGGCAAACAAACGAAGACCTCCACTATCTTATCGAACGTTGCCCTTCACATTATGTGACCTTCTGACTTTCTCTTCAGATACAGTACCTGAAATATGCCCAGTTGCTTCATCCCACTGAGGTGTTCCATTGGTGCACGCCTGCGCGACCAACACCGTGCTGGCGCATAACAAGGCTGCGATGCGTGCTGCAACCATCTCTGAAGACCTCAGCACACACCGATCCAAAAAAATCACGCTTCAGGGTTTTGGAGCGCAGAAGGCATCACCGGACTGCAGGCATCATGTGGATACCAGAGTAATGTAGACTCTTGAGGACCATACACCCCGCATATGAAGAGGATGTTCAATTCAAATGGCTGGGGTTATTAATCAAGAGTCTACATTATGAAAGTATCCTGGCCTCATGTATTCTACTCAAGGTATCAATTTGGCTACCTTGAAATGTGGCTGGGCAGCCAGATCTTACCCAGCCGTTGTACAATCCGGATCTGTCAACCCTGCGTTGCAGGAGCAGGCACAATCCCAAACCATGCGTCCGCCCAAAAAACCGCAGTGTCAAAATGGATGAATTGCGGTACAGTATACCTGGCAAGTTCTAAAGAAGACGACCTTTATTGACCTTTAGATCATTTGCAGGACATCCATCTCTGTGGCCATGAGTTCAAAAGGACAGCCCATGAGTTCAGGTCGTCGGCCCCGGGTCGAGCGGGACCTGCCCGGTCCGGACCGGTCCACTGGTCCACCGGAGAGCGGCAGCCGTCGGTCGGGGAGTGGGAGCGGGAGCTGGGCAACTAGGAAAGACTACCACGTTCTTCTTTCCTTCATTTGGCTGCTGATTGGTGCGAGGAAAAGGGCTGAAAAGGGATGAAAGGGGTTCCCTTTCTCCCACGAAGTGATCATCACTCCATTGGAACGATCGGAGTTAAGTCACACACATCTCACAAATCTCCAGTGCAGACCACAGCTCGTAACGCCGCACACTGACCAAGGCACATGACACAACTCACCACATCACACGTCATTCAAAGGGCATTGCTTGGATCTATGGTCATTACCAGGGCCCAACGGATGATGATGGTTAGGTTCTTGTTCCAAAATAATGATTTGCTTGATTTGCTTGTTTGCTAACTCTGTTACAAGCAAGTGCCGACAGAACCCACGGCCTTCCTGGAACCACGTCCAATCCGCCCCTCACCGTAGCCGCGAGAGGCGCCCCAGACTCGGTGGTTAGGGGGCCGGACACCACGCAACCGAGACAGGCGGGGGCTTGAAACTGGAAGGCTGCAAAACATGACTCAGAATTGACGTTTCCAATTTCACTTGACTGTTTAAATGTTTAGCTGGTCATTTGAATGACAATGACTACTTTAATGACTGCTTAATCGTACTGTCTCAAATGGCTGGTCATCTACAGTATCTCACTTCAGTCACGATATTGAATCTTTAAATCCTGTCAGCCTGTTTTTTCATAAGACTAATGTTAACTCATTCCTGGAAGATGGAACCAAGTCATGTTAACATGTTAGATAGCGAAGCCCATCCCTCGCGCTTGTTTTGGGACTCAAGCGCTGCGGAAGTACGAGTAGTTTTCAACTAGCAAACTGCATCTTCTATACATGCTAGTTCATCCAACAAACTCTAACACCCCGCCTAAAATTGAAACGGCGAGATTTCGAGTCTTTCGATTTTCCATTCCTGTACATTCCATCACCATCAAGAAGGTGACCACAGACTAAGGTCGGAATGTAAATTGCTATGAAACGTGTTCACTCATTCCTTCGAACTTTGAATTCACTCGTAGTGTCCAGTTGTCGTGACATGCAATCATCCATCTTCCTGTTCTGGTTCAGCAGTCGTATCACCATGTCGAAGTGCACGGGCATTGGTCACGCGTCGCCGCACACTCTCATTCTGCACTGCTGAAATGCGTTCCTCTTGTTCCGGTTCTGGAACTTCGAATCTTTTAGATCCACTTGGCTTTGGTTCTTCACTCGACAAGATCACAGTCTCTTCTCCCATGACTCGATCTGTCGTGTTCTCTGCTTCTTCTGCTTCTTTGTCTCCGTCTTCACTTGTCGAATCACCATGATGTAGCACCATCCACAAATCTGGATCGCTTGCTTCACTCAAACTGCACCACCTGTAGCGCATCTTCTTATCTTCCTCCGGTTCATCCTCAGAAACTTCAAGATCTTGATTTCCTGAAGCTCCACTGTAACCATCTGTTGCGCTGCCACTGCCGCTCGATCGTGGGAATGTCTCTAAACTTCCAAGCGACAAATCACTAATCAACTGACGAATTGCTCTGCGGGATTCCGGCTTCTCATACCGAACTGCCATGCTCACCAATGCTATCACCATACGTCGTTTCTCCTGCAAATCAAATTGCACTGCATAGTCCTCGTGCCTCTTTCGAAGCTCATTCTCTATCCAATTCAAACCAAGCCTCAAATCCTGTTCGATTGATCCTTCTGCAAATGGTTCAGGTTCTTCTGTCTGTACGGGGATGGGTTCCCCGCCTGTGTTCATGCTCCAGCTTCGTACAAGGAAAATCACCGATGAAACGAATGCCACACAAATGCCTGCCACGAAGAAAAAAGAAATGATTCCACTCACTTCTCTTTCAGACTGATTGCAACCCTGAAGTCCTAAACCAATGGTCATCAATGTACCAAGGTTGTATCGATTGAATCTTTGTGCAAATGCTGTTTGTATTGTTTGGATCATCAACTTGCTATTGCAATGCTCGAAAAACTCTCTAGATCCAATTCTCGTTTCAACCTCAAAATCTTCAGTCACTAAGACCGTTTGCAAGAAGAATAAGAGGAAATGTCTTCGACTTACACTGAGTTTCTTCGTGTTGAGGTCTGCAATGTTGAGTTTCGTGGATATAGGTTTGATATCAACGGAACCATCTTGTATGAGTTTCTGTGTCCACAACAGTCTCACTTGATAATGTTTCAATCTGCCAACTCCACTACGTTGCAACCATTGCCTTGCTGAAGATGAATCGGCTCGAATGCAAATCCTGGCAACATCTTTCACCAAGAACTCCCAAACCTGTTTCACCAAAAGCGTTTCGCTCAATCCTCCTGTCAACGCCAACAGCTCGGCTTCGCAAGATGAAAGCGCTATGCTCTTTTGGGTCCTAGAATGACTGTGAATTACAATGCTGTTCAAACAAAGTATGCCAGCGGATGTGCTTTTGCGGGAATGTGCACTGCTAGCCCAATCTGAAACTGTAAACAATTCGAACAAATGTGTTCTGCCACTGCTTTCCTGTTCACCTTCTCCTGGGACATTGTTCAACTTCCATGTCATCGAGTTTCCTGGGGCTTCATAGCCCATGAGAAAGGTGAGGTTTCTTGTTCCCTTCAAATACAAAATCAGATGAATCAAACAATGTTCTGCGTTCACCGTTGGGGCCGAAAGCCAAGACGCCAAAGACTTGATTGCAAACTGACAATCGATTCGCTCTTGAGCAACGTACATCAAAGTTCCCAAACCACTGCGAAAAGATTTTCTCCGCTCTGGATCGACGTCTTCGAGGCTCTCGCTGCAATCCACTTGTCCCAACAGCTGATGATCCGGTGTTGCTTTGGATCGCTTGTTTTCTAGTCCGTATAGTTTGATCAATGCATCAAAGTACTTTTCATTGGGTTTCGCGAAAATTCCTTCAGGAGTGAATTTGTACTTCTTTTTCAAATAACTGATTTCCTCTCCAGCTCCTACACTGCCCAAAGGAACCGGACCTTCAGCCTGAAGCTTGTACCTTGCCTTCAATGCTTGCAACAGCCACTCTCCGTCCCGGGAATGATTCACAGCAACTAGAATGTCATCTACATGCATGTTGATTGCTGCTTGTTTTGTTGTATGTCGAAACACCGAGGGCATAGCTAAGCAAGATTCGAATCCAAGCTCACTCAACACCTGCGAGAAAGAAGAAAACCATCTCTTTGCTCCATTACGTTGTCCGGGCAACACTTTCTTCAATCTCCAAACTGTGTCATCTGAAACTTGCAAAACTGACTTGATCCAAGGCCTCAGTTCTACGATGCATTCCTCAACCTGATCAACCGTCAAATAAGCATCACTGATATCTAGGCTGAGAAGTTTCCAACGAAAGTTCAAATGCAAGACAAAGAATAGCCTCACTGCTGAAGTCGCGGTTGTTGGTGAAAATGTCTCCTGGTCAGAATGCGCTCCAGCCCTGAACTCTCGTGCAACTATCCTGCAACGTCTTCGCCAAGCTCCTTGTCGATGTCTCCAATCGTACACCTCTTTCAAATCAATGAACTTCGTCTCCTGAAAGTTCACTTCTCCTACTTTCACTTCTTCAACCACTCCAAGACTCTTCAACTTCGAAACTTCGTCAATCATGGCCTGATCGTCCAACTTCTGTATCTCTTCTGCCGAAATGTCGGGTGGTCGTTCACCCTCAAAATCAATGTCATCCTGAAACAACTCGGGGTCAAAATCAAAATTTTCTTCTGTCAAATGCTGCTCAACCTCTATGTCCCAAACCTCATCATCATGCGGTTTCATTTCAACCTGGCCAGCAAAATATGGTGCGTACAAACGATCATGAACTCCACTAGAAGGACTTCCACTCAAACCTTCACCTCGGGGCGCTTTGCTCCGAGGAGATTCTTCGCCAGCCAACTCACCTGAGGACCGCTTTGAACTGGTGTTCACATCCATGTCGATCTCATCAATCAAAGAACTAGATTTGTTCATTTCTGCCATCACCTCTGGATTCAACAAAGGTGGGGTAAGAGGAGCACGCTCACCAGGGGATGTCGGTGCATATCCTGACGATTCAGCATCTTTCACGTCTTCCTCATCTCTATCCAAAACCATCTCTCCTTCTCGAGGTTCACGATGTCCCACATGCTCGAAAACAACGGGAAGAGGCGTGCCTAGACCACCAGGTGTTTTCGGACCCTTCTGCTTCAACCATGGACTTGACTTCAAAGCTAAAATGACATCTTTCCTCCAAGGCGTAGCACATCTTCTCACTGACCTTGAAGCAAACTGTCCAGAAGGAGTCAAAATGATGTTCATGTCAACTGTGTCCTTTCCTACCCAAACTCCTCCTGTCCAAGTGCTCACTCCTTTCTGCTTTGAAGGTTTCTTCAATCCAAAACAAAACTCACCAAACGGCATCAACTTTCCGTCATACTTCTTTCCATAAC